TGTCCGAACGGGGACTAATAAAAGGCAGACTATAAACAAGACTATTTTGTGATGAAAAAGGGGGACTAGTAGTGAAAACTTTAATGCTTTTGGGTCAGACATCCATGTGGTAAGCTAAGGTAGACTCCTCTGTTAATAATAATGTAGATATTTTGGACCACCAGCTACAAAAGACTCCCTAGTTAACCAAGTATTATTCAGTATGATTGTACACTGCAATTGTTATAACATCACCGTCAAAATATAGAAATATTTTGATAACACAAAATCAGAATAATTCTAGATTGAATACATTCCCAAACATGATGAAAATACTATTGACACTCTGCGGATGTTGAACAATGCATTATGGGTAATTCCCAACTTACCACAAAAGTCTGGGTCCTCATCAGAGTTATCTTTGCAGTCATCGTCGCCGTCACATAAAAAATTCTCTGACACGCAATGGTGGTTGTTACAGCGAAACTGTGATCTCTCACAGCTACGTAGTTCTACGCAAGCAAAAGTACATAGAATTGTTACAGCAAATCTAATAATCTAAGAAATTTTCTTTGCACCAAACAAATCTTACAATGTCTGATCAAAGTCTACAAAAATGTTTCGTACAATCTTGTACACTCATTAGACACATTGTTTCTTTGATAAATTGTACTTACCACAGTGTTCCTCGTCAGACATATCACCACAATCATTATCACCGTCACAAATCCACACAGATCGTGTACAGTTGAAGTTATCACACTGAAACCAACCTGGGTTACATACCCTTATTGCTGTAAACAAACCAATAGCATAATATGAACGGTGTAAAATTGACCACTTTGAGTGCAATTTTAGTCCATTATTTTATTATTGTCTTCAATTTCTTTGTTAATTTTAGAAGTAATAGACATAATTTCTCTTTGCTTACAGTTCCTAATCAACATTTTCGAAAAAAAAATACATTTTTTGAAGAGTTGATTTTGGCACACAAAAAGTTGAAAAACAAATAACAAATAACAAAAACAGTACAATCATTGTGACCTCCTTATGATGAATTCAACTTCAAACTATGTGGTTATACAAGCCAGAGCATTTCCCAATGACTTCCATAAATATCTAGCTCTGACTACAAATAACTCATTTGCACAAGATATTTTTGTTACATTACGCATGATGAATGCTGGGAGAAATATATTCAAGAAAAATAAGTATTGTTAATGTCTAATAACATAGATTCCTATGGGAATTGATCTGATAATAACCATTTTTGTGACATGATTTGAACTGGATAGAAACACTCAAAAAGATATAGCCTATAATTAAATAACAATATTGAATAACACTTTCAACCATACATGTATTTAACAATTGAAGTACTACGCATCAATCAAAGAAAGCTTAGAAGGACTCCCATGTGCTGAGAGTATTGGAGACACATTAAAAATAATTCGAAATTACTTGTACTTGAGATATTGATGGAAAAGCTGAAAACTAATTATGCAAATCAGAAAATTAATATATTAGAGTGTAAAACTAATGAGGTCTGCGCAATGTAACAGACCATCTAATAGTATGTACTAAGTTTTATTGAAATGTGATTAGAACCAAAAAATTATGAACTATGTTAATAAGGGAATTATTATGAACATATTAATATTAATATTAACCGCAAATTAATTAGGTTTGTACATTGTCCTAGAGCATATTTCTACAAAGTTTCACTGAAATGTGATGATTAATATTTGAGATATCAGTGAGAAAGTTGAAAATCGATTAATTATGTAAATTAGGTGATTAATATGCATAAATATTTACCGAAAACTAATAGGGTCCCTGCATTGTTTTAGATTCATTGAAATGTGATTAGTACTTGAGATATCAGTGGAATTAATTAACTATGCAAATTAGGTAATTAATATGCACAATTATTTACCCTGAAACTAATCAGGTCTCTGCATAGTCCTTGAGTATCTATGTACCAAGTTTCATTAACATGTAATGCTTACAACTTGAAATATCAAAAGCTGAAAATTAATTAATTATGCAAATTAGGTAAATAATATGTATTGATATTAGCCTCAAAATTATCAGGTCTGTGCAGTGTCCTATGACATCTATGTACGAAGTTTCACTGAAATGTGATGATTATTACTTGAGGTATCAGTGGAGAAAAACGAAAATTGTCTAATCATTATGCAAATTAGGTACTTAATATGCATGGCTTTTACCAAAAACTAATCAAATCTGCGCATAAGTTCAGAGCATCTATGCACCAAGTTTCATCAAAATCCATTGAGTGGTTCTCTAAATATCAGTGGAACAGTCATGGAACAGAGATCATGCAAATTAGGTAATTAATATGCATGGATTTTTACCAAAACCTAATCAAATCTGCGCATTGGCCCAGAGCATCTATGCACCAAGTTTCATCAGGCATTACAGGATGACAATCACTGAAGGTACATGCCGATCAATACAAACGCCATACTGCTTTTGTGCATATTTTTGCAAGATTTATATGATATACATGTACAATCTTTTTCTGGCATGTATTAATAATTTATTTAATTATTTTTGTGATAATAACATAGTATATTGAAACATTCCACTAGTGTTAAAACAAGCAGCCTGAGATACAAGTAGCTCCGCTGTTAGCAATGGTCATTTCAAATAAAGAATTGAAGATATCATTAGAAAATGAACAAATCTGAGAGAGGCCCACCAGTATTGCCTGTATGTATAATATTAATTTGAAAGGAATCGGACTTCCAGTTATCAATAAGAAATCAAAAATATTAATTTTTACCCAAAATTACAAAAATATTTACCAAAATTAGAGAATTGAGATATCATCATGAAATGAACGAATCTAAGAGACGTCACCTGATGTATATACACCTCAAGTATCAGGATAGTAGTTTTCAAAAAGAAGTTGAAAAAGTAACAAGCAGCCTGTCAGCTGAGATAGCTCCGCTGTTAGCAATGCACATTTCAATTAAAACAAGCAGCCTGTCGGCTGAGATAGCTCCGCTGTTAGCAATGCACATGGCAATTAAAGAACAGAAGATATCATTAGAAAATGAACAAATCTGAGAGAGGTCCACATGTAGTACCTATATATGTAATATCAAAGCAATTGGACTTGCGGTTTTCAACAAGAAGTCGAAAATATCACTTTTTACCAAAAATTACAAAAATATTCACCAAAATTAGAGAATTGAAGATATCATTACAAAATGAACAAATCTGAGAGAGGTCGACATGTAGTACCTATATATGTAATATCAAAGCAATTGGACTTGCGGTTTTCAACAAGAAGTCGAAAATATCACTTTTTACCAAAAATGACAAAAATATTCACCAAAATTAGAGAATTAAAGATATCATTACAAAATGAACAAATCTGAGAGAGGTCCACATGTAGTACCTATATATGTAATATCAAAGCAATTGCACTTGCGGTTTTCAACAAGAAGTCGAAAATATCACTTTTTACTAAAAATGACAAAAATATTCACCAAAATTAGAGAATTGAAGATATCATCATGAAATGAACAAATCTGAGAGAGGTCTACCCAAGGTACATATACACCAAGTATCAAAGCATTCAGGCTTGTAGTTTTCAAGAAGAAGTCGAAAAAGTAAAACATTGCCACGGACGACGGACGACGACAAAGTCGACAGCGGAGCTAAAAATGAAGATATCATTAGAAAATGAACAATATGTATAGTATGAAAGTAATCACAATTGCTGTTTTCAACAAGAAGTCGAAAATATTACTTTTCACCAAAAATGAGAAAAATATTCATCAAAATTAGATAATTGAAGATACAGTACAATTCTTGCGAAAGCTTTGGCTTTTGTGGCATCATTGTCGCCTCAGCATTGCATCATTGTGACATCAGCTTCGCGTCATTGAAAATTGAAGCTGTGTTCACCTCGCTTATTTTGTGGCATCATCGTTGCCTCAGCTTCGCAGTCTCATGGCAACAACATGGCATCAGTTTCAAAGTATTGTGACATGAGTATGACCTCATTATTTTCACACGGAAAGGCAGTAGATAAAAACACATGCACAGAAGTTTGATATGTAATCGATTTGAAATTCAAGGCGGTAAAAGGGAATAAAATAAATATGACCAAGAGTAAAATGACATTTAACAAAAATATCTTGTTTAATTATTTAATGTTGCAAGTATTGGGTACCAAAAACTTTGTGAAGTACATTTCAATCTGCAAGGTGACGAGTGTCATATTGACTGCAAGGAAAATCGTGATAAATTTAAATCACACAATGCAATCGTCATTTCGATACAACACAATTAGCTATACGAAATGAAATGGTGCGTCGGCGTTGTCCCCTGCCATCTTGATACAAAGTTCCAAAACAAGTGCGTACATTTCTAACTATGATTGGATGGTTGTGGTGGAGTCGGTCTGATAAAATTTTACATCCAATTTTCAAAATTAAGTCACGATCAGTGACCTGAGCTCGATCTATACGTACTTTAAAAATATTCTCACAAAAAATATTTTCAAATAAAAACCACATGCCGTACAAGAAATCGAATACACTTGACATGCAGAAATAATTTATTGGGCTTCAGAAAAAAACGTGTCCATTTAGTTGTAGCTGTAAATATTTGATGACCAGTCGATGAACAATTTGAAACTCATGATACACATAGAAGTCATTCGATACTGAATATCATTGACCCCAATCTGGTTTACCTTATTTCCCAACTTGCAAAACTGATTTGTATCTCAGCCCATTTTTTTCTTTCTTTTTTTGAACTGAGGTCAAACCCCAGCCGTTTGTCAAATTATACCGATGTTTTTCAGTGAATAATTGTGAAGCAAGTCACAGCACAAAAAAACTATGTGAATCGACGCCGGAGATTGGATGGTACGATGACCCTTAAATTAGCGTCAAATATGCTTTGTTACAATATCATTGATTGGCTGAGAGTCACCTGATCGGAGCACGACCTGGGTCACAGAACCATATTTGTTCGTATTATCAACAGGATTTTGCGAGAGTACCACACCCACATTTTCAACCTTTTTTAGCGCGGAAGTTGCCAACAAATGTCGAAAACTCGTGAATTTTATGGATTTGAATAAAACAAGTCATTGTCAATGACACGTCCCCGTTCCGTTCATATTTGAGTGACATATACATTCAAAGCAGATCATGACCGAAATGCACCTGCATATGTACAACACATTGTGCTAAATCTGAACAAAATCCATCCATGCATGACTGAGATCCGGTTCTGGAATTGTGAAAATATGTGATTTTGATGCATTTTCGGCCTTAAAATGGCCCCCATTTGGCTATCGTTAATGAGATCATGAAACAAATGCACATACATATTTGTGACATGATGTACCTTGTGTGTGTGAAGTTTGAACTTGATCAATCCAGACATGTCTCGGATACGGATCCAGAACTGAATTCTTTAAAACAAAATGGCCGCCAGTCGGCTATTTCGAACTTGATCCGAAAAAAAAATGACGTGCATCAAGGTCCTATTATGTTTAATGTATGTACCAAATTTGAATGAAATCCGTCCATGCATAACTGAGATCCGGGTCCGGAATGGTGAAAATGTGCGATTTCAATGCATTTTCGGCCTTAAAGCGGCCGCCATTTGGCTATCGTTAATGAGATCATGAAACAAATGCACATACATATTTGTGACATGATGTACCTTGTGTGTGTGAAGTTTGAACTCGATCAATCCAAGCATGTCTCAGATACGGATCCAGAACTGAATTCTTTAAAACAAAATGGCCGCCAGTCGGCCATTTCGAACCCGATCCAAAAAAAAAAATGACGTGCATCAAGGTCCTATTATGTTTAATGTATGTACCAAATTTGAACAAAATCCGTCCATGCATAACTGAGATCCGGGTCCGGAATGGTGAAAATGTGCGATTTTGATGCATTTTCGGCCTTAAAATGGCCGCTATTCGGCTATCGTTAATTGGATCATAAAAAAAATGCATGTGCATATGTCCCATATAATGTGTGATGTATGAGTGAAGTTTGAACTTAATCGGTCCATGCATGTTCGAGATACAGGTGATCACGGACGCACGGACGCACGGACGGACGGACGGACGGACGGACGGACGGACGCACACAGGGCAAAACATAAGTCCCCGTTTTCGAACTGCGTCCGAACGGGGACTAATAAAGCTAGCGATTGGTAAGACTGGTTAATAATATATCCCCCGATGTTGTTCAAATTTTTTTATTTTATTTCAAGGTGAGAAATGGATAATTGAAGTTCCATCGATTTCAAGGCGACTGTTTTACCATGACAACTCTACGCTGTGTTGTAGTTTCGCGAGGTAAAAAAAAATATATATAATAAATAGTACTTGTTTAATTATTTGATTTTACAGCCCGCAAATTACGGGACATGATCCCCATGAATTACGATAAATAAATGCTGATTGTGTTGAATGACGAACGTCAGGGCCGTTTGAAGAAACCAACGGGAATCGATATTCCAAACAAATTATTGGGACACAGTCGGTAGACATTTCAAACAAATGAAATTGTTAAAGAAAAACGAAATTTTCCCAGATATTTACGAACATACTGTCATACCAAATAAATGCAAAATTGACAAATACACAAAGAGATATTAGGTTTTATTTTAGCCTTAGAAATATTTTCTTTCACTCAGTCCATGCGTGGGACTTCTATTTAGCGTCATGGTCCTTCGGCTTGTCTTCTCCTTGGGGGAAATAACAATAATTATACAAATAGTAATCTCAACACAGTCAGGAAAAGAAACCCAGACAACCATGTCGTACTTCTGGTGAAATACATTTTGTAGCACTACGTCACACTTCAGAATATTGTTTAAAATAAAATAGTCAATCCCAGCCAAATCAAGGTCAAAGGGTCAGATTGCGTGCATATAATTATAGATAGTTAAAACAAAAAGTATTTGAACTTTTGACGGTTGTTCAACATCTATGCACGGTTACTAAAATAGTAACCGTGATCTATGAAAACCAGAACATTTTTTAGTAGTTTGAATTTTTTCACAGTCGAAAATAAAGTAGAAATTCAACAAGCGGTCGCAAAAGCGAGCGACTGAAAAGCGGAAGCAGGCGAGAGGTTGGGCGAAATGAGTTCTGTACTTCGTTGTTTGAACTCTGATGAAGCGATGCTGATGCCACATTGCCACAATGAAGCGAAGCGATAACCGCCTAACTTTTTAATGTCGCGACAATGACAATGCCATAATGATGCGATGCTGAAGCAAAGGTGAAGCTGAAGTGAAGCCAAAGCTTTCACGAGAACTGTTCTGTATCATCACAAAATGAACAAATCTATGAGAGGTCTATCTGAGATACCTACAAAAAGTCGAAAATATAATTTTCTACCAAAAATTACAAAAATATTCACCAAAATTAGAGAATTAAAGATATCATCACAAAATGAACAAAACTGAGAGAGGTCCAAATGTAGTACCTATATATATAAGCCGAACAAGTAAGAAGTTGACGCGGACGACGCAGACGGACAATCACTCACATAAGCTCCGCTCGACAAAGTCGACAGTGGAGCTAAAAAGTTCAAGTGGACGACGACAGACAATCACTCATATGATAAGCTGCATGACAAAGTCGACAACAAGCTAATAAGGCATGATAAAAGTGTACTCACGACAACTTGTAGGCTCATCTGAGGCATCTCTGCAATCTGCTTGACCATCACATTTCCATAGTAACGGGATACACTTCTCGTTATCAGCACATCTATACTGAGTATTACTACAGTTTGGCATACATTCACGTTGATTTGACTGCAGCACAAAGTCATCAGGGCAAGCACAGCTAAACGTAGTCCCCCCAGGGGAGATGAGACACAAATGGGAACAGCCTCCATTGTTGCTACCACAGGGATTCGGCACTGTAATTAAAGCAATAATATACGGTTAAAGAATCACTCTCATGGTTCCATGTTTTAACCTTTTCACCACCAGACTTTTCTGCCTAAATTTTTCTGCATTTTTTCTTATATTCTTCAATATTTCTGGAAATGAAACTTAATTTTGACGCCAACAACCAAATTTTGAGTTAATTTTCAGTTTTTACTCAAAAACATTAGCTATTTTTGTCCCAATCTCATCTGAAAACGTCCTATAATGTCCAACGTATATACATGTACCAAGTTTGAACAAAATCCATCTGTAAGCAGCAGAGAATTGCTTGATTTTGATGATTTTTTAGCACAAAAGTAGCCACCATTCAGCCATCTTGAATCAGATCGTTAAAACAATTGATGTGCATATGTATAATATCATGTATGATGTATGTGTGAAGTTTTATTGTGATTGGTCCAGGCATTTCTAAGATACAAGTGTGGATGCACGCACGCATAGGGTCAAAAATAAGTCTGAACCGGGAATAATAAAACCCTCATTTTTATTGTATGTGAAGCTATTGCTGTGAATATGCTCTTTAAAACACCCTAGTCGACATGTTGCATATTAAAATTTTGTGTAAACATGGGTTCCACACCTAACCGGATGTGGTGCGACAATCAGTTCACAAATATTGTTTTTTATACTAAAATCACAATAAAAGTCAGAAAAAATTCATTTTTATTGTCTGCAAAGCTGTTGCTATGAATAACTGGAGTAACTTAAATTTAAACGACAACTATCCAGAATCTGAGAGAGCTAGATAAAAAAATGTGACGCAGTGAAAAGCAAATTGTTTAAAAATGAAATCGGACTCACTTTCACGTTGTCTGAGTGGATGGTAGACATGGAGATCCATTGGTCTGTGTATGGTTGTTTGCAGCACAACCCTGTTTTCTCCAGTGAATTTATCAGCCTTATAAATAGCCTTAGTATTCCAATCTGTCCAATAAATGTAGTTTTCAAACAAGGAAATGGCAAATGGATGGGATATGCCTGTATCTGTGACACGATGCTGATTGGAACCATCCAAATCTGCAAACCTAAATGGTGTAAAAACAACAGTAACAATGAAATGGCAAATGGATGGGATATGCCTGTATCTGTGACACGATGCTGATTGGAACTACATGTATCCAAATCTGCAAACCTAAATGGTGTAAAAACAACAGTAACAATGAAATGGCAAATGGATGAGATATGCCTGTAT